ACCGAATGCGGCCCAGTAGCTGCACCAGAGGTGCAGCATCCTGGGGCCTACCGGAAGCTTCTGGGCCCAGGCCCAGGCCAGCCAGGCTGCGAAGCCAGGCGGGCTCTTTCCATATAGAAAAGAGCTAGCTGCCTGGAGCGGTATTCAGGCACTTGCTGGCCGGCGGCAGCGCTGCTGGAGCTTCTGCTCCCATGCTGGCTGCTAGCGCTGGAGCAAGGTGCTGCGCACATGCGGTTGTGTGTGGAAGCAAGGCGCTGCTAAGGGCAGCGCCATAGCCCAGCCTCCATAGCTGGCTGAGGGCTTGATTGTACAGTGAGACGCAGGGGTGGTCTTCGGGTGTACTGAGGGAAGACGTGGGTATAAAAAGAGGGAGAGAGAGAGAAGGATGATGATGATATCGATGATGTGAGGGCACATAACTGGCATTGGCGATGGTCTGCATTGGGCGACATCTTCAAGTACTTCGTGAGCTGCTGACGTCAACAGTTGCATTGTCAATTAGTAGGCAGACTGTAGCTGTGTAGGAAGTAGGCTGGGCGCCGAGCGCCAAGTAGGGAGATAGGGCCTGGACACTCATGTTGGTGGTGGCGAGAGCAAGCTCTCATTGACATTGGTTTTCAGTGTTAGGATTCTTCATTGGTGTTATATTGGTGCATTTCTGCTTTCTGGACACTGTGATACTATCTGGCCTTCAATGTGATTGTGCATTCTGGACATTGTCATCTCGCTATTGCTCATTTTCCTTGCAAAGGACACATCTTACTTCTATCTAACATCCCCGACAGTCTCAGAGGAGGAGAAGCGATCTGGTTCCACATGCTCAGGAAACTAGCCCTTTGGGTCATGTGGAAAAGGAGACGCACCAAGACAATCGAGGGTTCAAAAGTGGCCAAGGAAGAAATGTGGATTCTTCTGCTGAGGATGGCGGAAATAACAGAGATCAGATGCAAGCGGAGGAGTGTGTCATCAGCAACGAAAGGCAAACCGGAAAGACTCGCACTCAGGAGACAAATCTTCATGAGAGACTGGCTGCTACAGGGAAAGATAGCGACAATCACAGACAACAAATTGATTTGGAAAAAGAGGACCGCTCCAACTACGACAAGGAATGCAGCCCCGAAAAGGGCAAATTGAGGCTTTAGCCTCAGACTGACAGATTATTTCTCCCAGTTTCTCACGCCTCAAGCCTATCCGACAGAACCAACAGGGTTCTGAGAGGAAAACTAGGATAGGGCAAGCTGACAGTCAAAAAAATCCTCCCATATAGGAGTAATCAATGCCGGTCAGGGCTCCTTCGGCCAGACGGAAGGAAGCGTGAGTGTGTTTTATGATGTAATCTTTTATTCTGACTTGCCGGGGGAATAGGAACCGGACTGACGCTCCCCAGAATGGAAATGGATCCAGAGCCATTAGGGCCTGTTTGTATTAAGAAAAAAAAGAAAAAAGAAAAAAAAAAGAAAAGAAAAGGTGGAAGGCCTTGAGATGTCAATAGTCGAACTGACCAGCCCCAGGTAATTGATTTCATCGTTCATCTCGGTCATAAACTTCATATGGATTCGAACTCAGGTCTGGATTTGAACAACGCATGTGCGTTCTAACTGAGCTAGGCCTATTGGTGTTGCTGCCAGCATATATTGGGGGCAGGACTCTTTCCTATTTCCCTTTTGGGGCCCGCTGCTGTTATTGCCTCTGTTGCCGCTACCCCTTTTTTTGCAGGCAGCAGCCTTGTTTCATATTTCTCTTATGTGCCTGCTGCTGCTGCTGTTGCTTATGTTGATGCCGCCCTTTATTTGGTAGGGGCAGCACCCTAGTTTCCTATTCCACTTTTGCCCCCTTCTGCTGTTGTTGCCTCTTTTGCTGCCCCCCTTTACTCGGGACAGTGTTATATATCACATTCTGGATAGACGGCCAGGATGAATTGATTCTGTCCTCTGCATGGATCAGGCGCTAAATCTTTCTTTGGAACTACAATCTTGTGGGATCGTCGCCCCCTCTTCATCCTCCATGCTACAGTCGTCTTGGATGACACTTATCGTCACCCACCCTCCTCATCCTCCATGCTACAGTCATCTTGGTGGAGATTTATGTCCACCTCCACCGGGGGGCCAAACAGGCCCTAGCACGATGCAACAAACAGGGAGCAAAATGATGGATGAAGTCGCACGGCCACAAGACGCAGTTATGACTGCGCCCTCATATCACCATCCCAAGCTGACCAGAGCGACACGCTTCCCTCTCACCCTCGACTTCTGCGTACGTATAGGGGCTGTTTGGCTCCCCGGTGGACGTAAACCTCCACCAAGATGACTGTCGCATGGAGATAGGCGTCTAGCCTGTTTGCCCACCCCGGATGATGAAGAGCAAAATGAATTGGCTCACTTACTGGCTACAGGTCAGTCAGTGTATTTGGGGAAACTTTCAGCCGAGATACAGACCTCGCTGCCTACGGATGATGAAGAGCAAAATGTTACACTCAGCGCAGCCTCGTAACCTCGCTGCCTACGGCCTAGCATCTTTTACCAATTAACGGACCGCTCAGTCATTATAACTGTATTTGGGGAAACTTTCAGTCCAGATACAGCGATAATGACTGGGCAGTGGGCATTCCATTTGGGTGAAGACGGTCATTAATACGCATACAACCTACTGAGCTACCCAGGTACCCATCATTGGGTTGGAAGCCCAACAACTGAACTACAAGCAAAACGACTGAGCCCCACTGGCTGGGGATGGAGTCAAGGTGGGGACAATCACCACAAGAAGGACAAAACAAGTTTGAAAACACAATTCAGGACCTTGTGGTATACTTTTTCTCAAATATAACCCTGCATCGTACTTAATTAGGAAGCATGGCTGTTGCATTTGGAATTTTGGATCCATGATTTCCAAAAAGTGTCGAATTCGAGCAAGGAATGCTTAACCCCGTTCAAGTTTAATATTCCTGGTTCAATCTTTTTTTTTTTTTTTTTCACTTGGTTTAGATAAGGGGTTAAAACTTAAAACCTAAAAATTGAAATTCAAAATTACCAGCCAATTTTTCTATGACAAGGCAGTGCCCGCGCCGCATGTGGCTGGATGTACTGACCTTCCAAAACGCGTTGTGTGCACGGTTTGTTTTGCCGGTATGTATTTTTTTGCGAATTGGCAGGAGGGTACATCCCACCAGGCACGGCTGGAGCACAGCCGCGTCGTAGAAAAATGGCTGGGAAAAAAACCTACTTGTGGTTTAAAACTTAATAAGCAACAATGACAAGTGGTAGAAACCCACTTCCTGTTTGAGTTCTTGCATCCTTCGCCCTTTTTCGCTCTTTTTTCGACCCCCGAGGCATTGAAAGGGCACGCGATCTTTTTGCCTAAGCAGCATTGTTAAGTTGTTAACCGCATTTCCCTCTCTACCCTGAGCCAACAAAAAGGCTGCACATCCCCCCTCCTTAATAGAATGCGTAGGCAGGTTTGCTATTTGAATAACATGGCCAGTTGGGGTTTTACGACTTTTTTTCCTTTATGTCTAAAAGACTCTAAACCGCATAGCCAAACCGGACTGGCAGGAAGGTTCTAGTAGACTCTTAGAGTTTAGAAGGCAACTGGCTGCAACTGAAGTCTGAGATTCCTTTTTTTTCACTTTTTGAAGTTTTTTTCCTTTTCTTTTCACTTTCTTGAGAAGTTTTTATAGACAGGGGGCTTAGGGGGGTGTAAAGAACAGGGGTAGATCCTTTATCCTCAGGAAGTTGTCACTGCCACTGACTCGGGCTTCCTCGGCCGTAACGGAGGAAAGCATGGAGTGGGTTGTTGATGTATATGAAGTTATGAACGCATTGATCAGCAATAAATGCCAATGAATTGGCAATAATGAAACCTTTTTTTTTTTTTTTTTTTTTCCCCTTTCAGAAGAGGGGCCTAGACCCTGGAGCCAACGATTAGGTATAGGACCGTATAGCTGCTATGGGCCCGGGCCCAAGAGGTTGAAGTACTTGGTTCCAGTTGCACTGCACTCTTCGAATGGTGGTAATGTGATTGTACGCCTTTACGCTGATCCACCCCCTTCCAGGTGCCATCCACGTTAAAGAAGGGCACATGTTGCATGCAGTTTTTTTTTTCTTGTTTCTTTCCCCCCCCCCCCCCTTTTTTTAACTACTGCGACAGCCTTGTGATATGGTCATTGAAACCGGCTGGGCCCAGGTAATTCAGAAGTTTCATTCAGCTGGTTTCATCCGGATTCGAACTTGGGTCTGTATTTCAATTTCAACAGTCCATGGGTGTACCGACTGAGCTAGCTAGGCCCATCTACGCCCATCTAGATGGGCCCATCTACGCCCATCTAGATGGGCCCATCTAGGCCAATCTAGGCCCATCTAGGCCTATCTAGGCCCATCTAGGCCCATCTAGGCCCGTCTAGGCCCATCTAGGCCCATCTAGGCCTATCTAGGCCCATCTAGGCCCATCTAGGCCCATCTAGGCCCATCTAGGCCCATCGGTCGCTGCATGCAGTTTGTATGATGTGAGGGTGTGGTTGAGTTCCGACCAGGCAACCAATAGGGATCCGGGGGCTAGGTCCCACTTACACGAATTAAGCGATATTGACCGTAGATAGCAAAGATCAACGGCCAGAATCTCTTAATCCGTGCAAGTGGGACCTTGCCCTGGGTCTCTGGGCCTAGCTCCGATTACTGCAACCGATGGGCCTATAGGGATCTGGGTCTCTGATTGTAATTGCTTTGTGTGGACTGCTGTGCACATTTGCTGCTCGTTCTTTTTTGTTCGAATGGGGTTAATAATGGGGCTGTGCTACCTTTTGGAATGGGGCTCTTTTTTAAATGGGGTTAATAAGGGGGCTGCTTGTTTTGAATGGGGGGGTTAATAATGGGGCTTGGCTACTTTTTAGAATGGGGCTCTGTTTGAAATGGGGTTAATAAGGGGGCTGCTTTTTTTGAATGGGGGGGTTAATAATGGGGCTGCTTTTTTCTCTTTTTGATTTATGGATCTGCTTTTTAACAAGCCAGGGCACTCCTCATCCATATGGCCAATTCAGCACAGCTGCGATGCCGACTTCAACGGGAACAGACACACCGACGGCACGACCAAAGGTGAGTGTACAGCGCTGTACACCTCATTTACCTCATTTGTCTTTTTCTGTTTTGCCTGCACAAGGAAAGGAGGGCCAGTGCCCAAGGTTCATGTTACCTAAGTGAAATACAGCTATTCAATACTTCAACCTCTTCATTGTTTGCGAGTGTCTCAGGGCATACTCACACAACGTAGGACTTTTTCGACTGAGCTCTGGATACGATTGGAGTCAGGTGCATCGAGCTTCGGCCTCAATTGCAGTCAGATACGTTCTAAAAGGTCTTTTTTTAAGTGTTTTTTTTTTTCTTTTTCTTTTTTAACCCTCCCGGGGGGGTATCACCTGGTCGAGTGTGGAGACAGCGTGACAAGCACGTTGATCTGCTACGTCAGGGAAGGATCCCTGTTACTGACCGAGGAACAACGAACGAGATGACTCTTCACAATACAACCATAGGCCACCATAGCTGGAGAGTAGAGAGAGAGAGAGAGAGAGAGAGAGAGAGAGAGAGAGAGAGAGAGAGAGAGAGAGAGAGAGAGAGAGAGAGAGAGAGAGAGAGAGAGANAGAGAGAGAGAGAGAGAGAGAGAGAGAGAGAGAGAGAGAGAGAGAGAGAGAGAGAGAGAGAGAGAGAGAGAGAACAGTAAAATAATGCAGGATAGAGAAGAGGGGAAGAGAAAGCAGAGAGAGGAGAGAGGAGAGAGCTAGGATAAGCGCAGTAACCAAGCCTTCATCTCAAAAAAAGCGATATATCATGAAGGTCCCCTGGCGGTCATCCCTACTACCGGTTTCTGCCTCAGCGCCAGACCAAGGCCATCATCAGGGGACTTGTGCGCTTGTTCCTAGGTTCGGACACCCCGATATATATTCTGGAACGCTACACATACTTCCTTGTACCAAGTACTGTGTGATCTCAAAGTACGATCCTGGAAAAAGGGAAATAGGTGGGCGAAAAAGAGTCAGACGGTAGCAAGTTGTAGACAGCCAGCAGGTAGCATTTAGGAGGGGGGGAAAACATGGGAGTGGAGTACTGAGAAGCCATTTTTTTTTCCTCGTGTTCGTCATTCCACGTTTGCGGTATGCGTTTCTGAATCGCAGAGGAAGACATCGCCAACTCATCATCACGTAAGCAGAACCTCATATCACTTCCCTGGCAATTGTGACTTCTTTGTCATGTATGACGTACATAGACATTCTGGCAAGCAATCTGATGTCCTGCAGGAGTACACGTACAGATCTGTGTGTCGCATATATGCGCCTCGCGTGGTGAGAGAGGAAGGCAAGCACGCTGAAGGAGATAGGATAGAAAGCTAAGCTGCGAGTCGTCGCAGAGCATGTGGAGCGAGCAGGTCACGACAAAGTTCTGGAAGATACGGCGAGGAAGAGTAGAAGAAGCCAATGGACGAACAGACAAAAGAGTCGTAGTCGGAAAGCAAAAAAACTGGAAGACGGGGGCAGGTGTGAAAGCGGCAGTAGCTGGCGAAGGAGGAATGGGCCGGGTGTGAAAGCCCTAGCCACAATCTTGCAGGGCTTTAACACCAGGCTCGGCAACGGACCGGTGAGATAGGCCGCCATCTGGTGGTGTCCTTGTGTTCCTAGCACCTACGTTCTACAAGGACCCTCTTATTGTGCGAGTATGCCATCAGATTTGTTCAGCGGTACAGGAAAAGGCTTGCGGAAAGTCACAAGCTGGAATCCTAGTGTGTAAGATAGGAAAAGGCTCTTGCAGCTTGCTGGTTTAAAAAGACTTACTCAAGTCACCGAAAACGGCAAAAAGAGAAAAAAGGTCATAGCCTCACAGGAGAAAAAAAACTTTAAAAAGTCACTAGTGTATGCCTTTTTTAACCCCATCAAACTTTATCAAAGCCATTTCCCCCAACAGGAAAGGGGACAAAAAGAAAAAGAAAGGGGGGCGAGGGGTGGGGGGGAAGGGGGAAAGGGCTATTTGCCCAGGCACGCGGACTGCCCGGACTCCCCGGGAAGGCTGCCCGTCCGCCTGGGCGGGGAGGTCACCCGGCCGGGTCCCGGGCGGCCTGATCACCTGGTTTCAACCAAGCGTTTTCACACCCAGTAGGCAGCCTCATGCTCCCGCCCAGGTGTCTTTGGAACAAATGTTGATTATGATTATGATTATGATTATGATTATGATTGTGATGATGATAACGATGATGATGATGATGATGATTCCTCTATCATGAGGTTCGGCGCGAGTTGTGGTGGAATGACGATGATGATGATGATGATGATGATGATGATGATGATGAACTGGTCGAAGATGTGGTTCCCCCACATCTTGACTGCAGCTACTCACACTCTCACTTCACCGCTCCCGCAAGTGAGTTGATCTCATTACAATGCAACAGTGTTTCCGCAGCAAGTACGAATGGAATTGCGTGCTGAACGCAACTGCCGCTGTTTTTTTTTTTTTTTTGTGTGTGTGTGTGTGACGATTCCACGCCCTGGCCCATGGGACTGGTAGACCTTGTAGCCAGCCAGCTTCAGTCTGTTGACCTTTGTCAAAGGGGCTAAGTTAAGGAATTTTCCCAGCCCATGGGATTAGCCTCAGGAATTTTCCGGCCCATGGGACTAGCCTCAGGACTTTCCTGGGACCCCGGGCTGGTGATTTGCCGGAAACGGGCCTGAACTGGAGAAGGACTGGCCTAAACTACAAGTGGACGGGACCTCCTTAACCTACTCGGCCCTAATTATGTAAGTTTGGGCTCCTTAACCTACTGGATCCTTCCGTGGACCTCTTTACACTTCAGGAACGATGTACTGAGATTGCATCTTCAATACACACTTTGTCATACAACCTAGTATTTGATAAAACCTGAGTGGGGATCCGGGCCACCCGGGTGACCGGCAGGGGCCCGGGGGAGGTCCCGGGCGGCCTGGCCGGGCAGGGCACCCGGTTGGGGGCCGGGCCCCC